CTCCAATATGCCACATTGGAGAGGGTCAGATCATTTGAGTAGAGGGAAGATAACAACCACTTCTGATATTCACTAGCGCTCATTGATCAAAAGATTTTTAGACTTCTTTACAATTCTTCATGCAGCATGTCCAGTTTCAACCTTTTCTTATATTCACCGATTCCGCAAGATGTGTTATGAAGAAAGTTACATTTATAAATGAGTAGGTGTACTACAAAACTACAACAGATATTACAACAGCCAGTTACTTAAAGGGTGCAGGGGTGTGCGATTCCTTTCGCCTGACGCCCTGAGCATGCAGTTCCAGGTGTCGGGCAGGTGGTTTTTTCTCTACATTTACACCTGCTGCAGGCAAGCAGAGCTAAATGTATAGCAAGGGAGCCACCGCTCGTTTTGTACAAGTGATCTGGGCAACTACACAGCCTCCCAGGTCACTTGATCGCGCTGACCAATGAGAAGCACTTCTTAGCATTGGTTAAATACGGTTTTGGTTGAAATTATTTTTTGTTTCAGTACAACAAGTAGATTGTCATGAGCGGCAATTAGATTGGGCTGCTGCTTTAGTCCTTGGACAAGTAGTTTTCTTTAAATTTCCACACCCCTGGGGCAGTGATATTTCTTATTATGATGTTTCAAGCTGAACTCCTGGCATATAAGGGCAAACAAGCTGTTCACTTATTTTACACATTCCACAGGAATTTTAACATTAGCTTAGTGAATGAGGTGAACCTCTGCTGACTTCCATCGTCCAATCATGTGCAAGCACAGGATTTCATGTGATTGGGTATTCTATGCAAAGTTAAGTTTCCCCACATTCACTAAGGGGAAACTTCCCCTGCAAAGTGCAAATTTCTTTGCAAAGTGGAACAGCCTATTTGTCCTAATAAATCAATCCCTGCTCTCCTCTAAATCTCCCCACACACTGCTGACAGTAAAGGCTTTACCCGCTCTGCCTCTGCAGGCTGCCTAAGGGATGGTGACTGGTTGCTTTACTGCCTCCTAGAAGTTCTGCGCAGGCAGCAAAACCTGAACTAGGCAATCCGTGCCATAGCTACAGGCGGGATGTTTTTTTATCTGTTCCTCCCCACTACACCGATCATCTGTCAACCCGCTTTGCCTTCTCTTCTAAAATTCTCAACACACTACTGACAATGAAGGTTTTACCCCCCACAGGTACAACTTCACTTGAAGTGGGGCAGAGACACTGTCAACAGTGGAGGCATCACCTGTTCTGCCTCCCTCTACTAAGAGAAGAATAGCTGTATAAGGTGTTTATTTTATGATCAGCTCATGAGATTGTTGCTTCTCTAAGAATGAAATCTCTCTGCCATGCTTCACTGAAGTCTCTCCATACAGCTGATCAAGGCACTTTTTAATCTGATGCCAGCGGAGATCTGCCCTGTTCTGCACTATACCACTGTTTGGCTGTCAGCAGTGTTAAGTAGTAGAACACACTTCACTGATCAACCATCAGTGATGCTTGTATGCCTAAACTGCCTCTTATAATGCAGCCATAGCAAATGAGTTCTCCCCTCCTCTGCCACTGCCAACATCACAGCTGAGCACACTCCTGGGAGTCAGTCCTCTGCATGGATGAGATATTTTCTTGTAGGTAATGCCTACATGTACACATAAGGTTTCCTGCAGACCTCTCTCCCATCTGACACTGTGTAGATAATTTTTCAGACTGCTTTGATGACATCACATAGATTTTCTAAGCTAAAAATCCTAGCTTCTGCTGCAATTTTTTTTCGAAATCCAAAAACTTTAATGAACAGCACATGGGGAGGGAGCTGGGAATCTAAATTACTACAGCTTTAACCAATTCGGCTAGATTACAAGATTATTTTCACATTGTAGATGGCTACTAGCTTAAAACATTTCCTCATAATTATGGATTAGTTGTTTAAAGGTAGGTGTCCCAAAGTTTTCCACATTACAAGGATTAGAGTTTTGACTGCAATTAAGGACACTATAATGCTTTTTGGTGAACTTTATTTCACATATTTAGGTTTTCTTTTAAGGTTTGCTTGTTTTTAATATGTTATGTTATATGTTTGGTTAAAAAAAATCATACATGACAAAGGTTTCCAAAAATACTATAGGTTAGCTAAAGAGACACCATATCACCCCGAACGTTAATCAGATCGCGTTCATGGAACGCTGCCTTTCAGAACTGTCTACTTTTGTGGAAGGTACCCTCATTTTGGGAGCGATCTCAATGTGGCCCTGGAACCACTCCTGGATGTTTCCCGCGTCGCGTCCCATCTATCCTACACCTTTCTCAGGAGGTTTAAGAGACTACTACAAACACAACAGCTGCTAGATGTGTGGCGGATTCTCCATGGCCATGCTAGGAACTACACATTTTTCTCAACACCCCACCAGTCCTACTCGCGGCTGGATTATTTCCTGCTGCCACAGTCTGACTTATATAGGGTGGCGGCCGTCTCAATAGAGATCTGCACGATATCGGATCACTCCCCAGTGGCCATGGAGATCCGACTCGGTGGCGATACTTTTTCCGGACATGGCAGTGGCGGCTTAATGAGTCTATGCTACAGGACGAAGGGGTCCGGACGGTTCTAGAGAAATAAATACGTACTTATTTTGAGACTAACCAGACTCCAGATGCAAGACCTCTTTCAGTGTGGGAAGCTCACAAATGTGTGATCCGAGGTCTTCTGATTTCCCAGGGCTCCCGACTCAAGAAGATCCGATCGGCTACGATCGTTGACTTGACCAGTTGCCTACGGGTCCTAGAACAAAGCGCTGGTGGATAAGACTCAGGCCATAACCGCCTATCTAAAGGAATCTGGATTGCCCCGCCTCACCCAAGAGGCATGCCTCTCCCTGTCTGGACCTCTGGAGGAGGATGAGGTACACAGAGTGATAAAATAATCTAAACCTCACAAAGCACCGGGACCAGATGGCTTTACGCTTTTTATTACAAACACTTCTTTTCCCTCCTTGCACAACCTTTCCTTAGGGCCTTTAACTCGGTTCTGGATGGCCACAAGATCCCGGCGGATACGTTAAGGGGGCGGCCATTACAGTTATATCAAAAGACGGAAAAGACCACACCCAATGCGCTAATTACCGCCCTATCTCCTTGCTTAATGTAGATCTCAAGCTGTTTACAAAAATTCTAGCTAATAGATTGTTACCCCACATGCCAGGACTTATACATGCTGACCAGGTGGGATTCATACCGGGTAGGGACGCTAAAGAAAATACGACACGGGCCCTGAGCGCCATCCACCTAGCTAGGTCATTGGACATCGCCACCATTCTCCTGTCTACGGATGCCGAAAAGGCATTCGATAGGGTATATTGGGTTTTTCTGAAGACGACCATGACCTACCTGGGAGTGGGGAATGAGTTCTCCAAGTGGCTGGCTAGCTTATACTCGCATCCGACAGCATATGTATGACTCAATGGGGTGAGTTCTAGTGACTTTTCCCTCCTCAATGGCACACGTCAGGGGTGCCCATTGTCCCCCCTCCTATTTGTGTTGACCTTAGAGCCTCTTTTGTGCCGTATACGAAACAACCCAAACTTTCCCGGACTCTCAGTGGGAGGATCGACCCACAAAGTGGCGGGTTATGCGGATGACCTGCTCTTTTTTGTCACTAGTCCGGCTACATCCCTGCCAAACCTTCTCGCGGAGCTGGCACACTACAAATCCCTATCCAACTTCGTGATTAATTTGCAGAAGTCAGGAGCTTTGAACATTAACGTGCCCACCGCAGTCATAGATTCCCTTTCTTCGTAATTCCCATTCACATGGGCGCCCCACAGCATTAACTACCTGGAGATCTACCTGACATCTACTATTGGGAGGATCTTTTTGGCCAACTTTAGACTGTAGGTAGACCTACAGCTTTGGACGAAGAACATGTTTACCTGGTTCGGTCGGAATAGCATTCTCAAAATGAACGTTCTGCCCCGCCTCCTCTATCTCCTCCAGACCCTGCCGGTACATGTCCCGTCCTGCTTCCTGAAAAAGGTGAAAGGGGAATTTGGCAACTTCCTGTGGGCACAGAAGGGCCACTGACTGAGCCAGCTTCTTATGTCTCGACCAAAACAGAGGGGACATAGGGTTCCCTGACCCCCTACATTATCACAAGGCAAAATTTTTGTTTATAAGCATGAAGATGTTATGTGTCTAAAGTTCATAAATAATCACGTGATATAATGGAGCAGATTATATAAGTTTTATCGCTGAGCTGACATTTGTTCGCTTTTACAAGGTGGTTATCACATGTTATCCTATGACTATTTGGGTCGTCCTTGACCTACCTTTTGTACTATTTGTACGACTGTTATTTGTTTTACTTTTTTTATACAATACCTATAAATAAAGAATTTATTTAAAAAAAGAGACACCATATCAGCTTGTGTTGCAGATCAATTTGTCATTTGACTAGATCTCAACCTGTTGGCTGGATAGAAAACTACATAATATTACTGTGCAATATTTTACATTTACCTGACTGAGCAAAATATAATTTTTTTAAAATGTTTAATTTTTTCAGTGCTGACCAATAATAAACAAAGAAAGAATGCACAAAACCACTATACATTCTCTTTACGCAAGTTAAGAAAATTAAGACTCTCTACAGAAAAAAACAGCCATCACAGTTTAGCTTTAAATGAATATTTAAACTTTAAACCCTCGAAGTAGTACAGAGTTTCTAAAGTTATTAGAATGATGTAAGGGTGATTTGAAGGTAACGGGATCTTCAGAAAAATGAAGAATAAACATGGCAAATGTTGGATGCCATCAATGCAGAACTCCATAGCGAGAGTTGTGGAAGCATTTGTAATTGGTGGGGGTAGCCCTTTGAATCCAGGTAGATTGATCTGCCAAGGAGATAGTTGTGTCTTTTGGTACATAGACTTTAAATTCAATATATTCAAACTGTATTTTAGGTCATATAGTCCTTCTTTTACTATGCTTCTTTTACAGGTTACATTTATTTACATTGTATTATCAGTTTTACAGGAGACTCAAAACAATCCTCAAGCACCCGTTATGTGGAAACCCAGTCCATGCAGATTGGAGCATCTTATATGATACAGTTTAACTTGGTAATGGGATGTGGTGATCGGTTTACACCACATATGGACAATCAAGTGATGCTGGAGTATTCAACCAACCATGGACTCACATGGCACTTAGTGCAAGAGGTATGACTATTTACTGTAGAAAGTAAAGTGCAGGGGAACATACTGTACATACACACATACAGTCCTAAAAACAAAGATTTAATTTGTTTTTCTCTTTTTGAATTCTATGAATCCTGACACACTGCTAACAATACCACCATGTTTAGAATAATCACCTAATCACGATTCATACATTCATGGCTATGTCTAATAAATCCAATCATACGCCAATCAGTACAAATGGCTAAACACATTTATAGACATCATAGCAAGGATGTAGTGTTCACAGCATTTGTTTGGTATTCCTTACTACTATTGATCCAGGATTTCATTATTTTATGTTTTAGTATCAAACTAGATAGCACATCTAATTATGAACAGATATGGCTGTCAATTTTCTTCTTACCCTGTTTAAGCACCTAATTATTAAACATCAGCCCGGTTTAATCATTGGATGTGTTCCTATTACTGAACACAGTGTGTATTGTTGTTTTACAGACTTTTATCATGAGTAATCTAATCATCTCTAACATTTCACAAAATATAATTTTCAAAACATTAGTACAGGTAGCATACATGCCTAATGAGGTTGCTAATCTGATGTGAATGCACCTTGACAGGCACATTCTCTCAGGGTTCTGTTACAACTTCCTGTTCGGAAACCTGAGATTGTATGGCCCCCAAGCTTTCCATCTTCACTTCAGACAGTAGTAAAATAACTGTGAAAACATCCATAGCTTCATTGCCCAAATGGAAACCTTTGAATGTCAAATGAAGTGTGAAAATGGGAGTATGCGAAAAAGACACATTAATATTTAGACTTTTTCTATTTTTTACCTTTTTCTCTAGCTTTCTTTTATAGAATAAAAACATTTACCATCATTATATTAGTTGCATAGGAGGATATTTTGTACAACATATGTGCATTTCAGATTACTAAATAGTAGTAGCACCCCAAGAAGTATCTCATGATCGCCAGAATCTGATGCAGTGATAAGCATTGTGTACTGATCTGTGAAAATAAATAAATAATAAAACAAATAAAATAAATGTATATATAAGTAGGTATGTGTGTGTATATATATATATATATATATATGTATATATATA